AGTGCTGGGATTACGGACATGAGCCATTCACCTGGCCTGCTATCATTAACTTTAGGTTATCACCCTTGATAGCACGGTGGGTGCGGTGGGGGTGGGGGAAGCTTCATTTAATCAGTTGAGGGCTTAAGAGTAAATCATTTAATCAGTTGAGGGCTTAAGAGTAAAACCTGAGTTTTCCTGAAAAAGAAGAAATTCTGGCCAGGCGCAGTGGCTCACCCTTGTAATCTCAGCACTTTGGGAGGCCGAGGTGGGCAGATCACCTGATGTCAGAAGTTCGAGACCAGCCTGACCAACATTGAGAAATCCCATCTCTACTAAAAATACAAAATTGCCCTGTGCATGTCTGTAATCACAGCTACTTGGGAGGCTGACACAGGAGAATTGCTTGAATCTGGGAGGTGGAGGTTTTGTCGAGCCAAGATCTTGCTATTGCACTCCAGCCTGGGCAACAAGAGTGAAACTCCATCCCAAAAAAAAAAGGAAGCAATTCTGCCTCAAAACTGTAACACAGAAATCCTGCCTGAAGTTCCATCCTGCTGGCCTGCCCTGCAGATTTCAGACTTGCCAGCCCCTACAATATTGCATGAGCCAATTCCTTAAACACACAGACACAGACACAGGCACAGACACACACACACACACACACACACACACACACACACACTAATGCTTTCCTTTCTCTGGAAAACCCTGACTACTATACCTGGGAACTTGCTATAAATGCAAATTCTCAGGCCCTCACCTGGCCGACTGACTCAGACACTCTGGGGTGGGTGGGATGCTTGAACAAGCTTTTCCGGAGATTCTGCCACACCCTCAAGTTTGAGAACCGCTGCTCCACAATCTCGAAACTCAAAGTGTATGCAGAGACCAGCAGCACTGGCATGTCCTGGGAACTGGCTAGAAATTCAGGTTCCCAGGCCCCACCCAGACCTGTGAATCAGGCTCTGCATTGAACTGGGTCCCTGGATGGCAGGGGCACTGTAGGGTTTGAGAAACACTGACCTTGTGCTTTTCTGGGGACAAAGCAAAGAGAATGTGTTTCCTAGACTCTTGGAAATAACAATGCAAATGATCAATTATCAGGCACCTAACGCCAAGCCCTTGATATAACTTGTATAATTCATCTGCTGAACGCGTGTAACTTCCCTGAATTCTCTCACAATCCTGTAAGGTAGACACACGTTAATTCCATTTTACAGATGAAGAAATGAACCCAGAGGGACTTAAAGGGGTCGGGTGACCTGCTCAGGGTCATACAGCTTGTGAGCGGTGGACACAGAATTACGACCCAAGCCAGAAATGACTAGAAGCACAGAAGCACCCACTCTCCACCCTGCAGACAGGGTGCCCCGAGATTTGGGAGAAATGATACACACACAGACACACAGAGCCAAGATGCCTCCTCTTAATTAGAGCTGTAGCTGTCGTCGTGTCTGCTGCTAACAAAGACTGTGGGCTGGGAATGGAATCAATTTAATATGCAAGTGCTGTTCCCAATTAGCACAAATTACCATTTGTCTGAGAGGATGATGCTGGGAGCTGGAATCCACCCAGGGGGTCACAGCACTCCGAGCTCATCAGCCTAATTCCTGCTGCTCCAGCCACAGCCTTCCTCACTGCGCCTTCCCTAGACATGGGAGAGGCAGGATGGGCCGGGGAAGAATCTAGGAGGCCCAGGTACAGCCTGGCTCCATGCCTACTGGGAGCGGCCATTGTTTTTGTCAGCCTCAAGTCAGTTCCCCTCCAAGCACCTGTGTTTTTGGCTAAATCTGCATTAGCCAACACCAGATGCTAGTCTTCAGCTCCACAGGAAGGGGCTGCTCCCTCCTCCCTCCCACTCCCTCCCTGGGGCCTGGAACATTCTCAGACCTGGAAAACCTAAGAGGGCTTTGATGATGCCATTCAAGGCATAACACCAGAAAAGGCTAATTGGTAGGGGCACTGTCACCCTCACCTTCAGTTTTGTTTTTTTTTTTTTTTTTTTTCAGACAGTCTTGCACTGTCCCCCAGGCGGAAATGCAATGGTGTGATCTCGGCTCACTGCACCCTCCACCTCCCAGATTCAAGCGAGCTTCCTGCCTCAGCCTCCCGAGGAGTTGGGATTACAGGTGTCCGCTATCACGGTCGGCTAATTTTCGTATTTTTAGTAGAGATGGGGTTTCACCATGTTGGCTAGGCTTATCTTGAACTCCTGACCTCAGGTGATCTGCCTGCCTCAGCCTCTCAAAGTGCTGGGAGTCCAATCTCTCACTTCTGAGAAGCCTGCCCAGCCAGGGAGAGCCTCCTGTGGCTCCCTCTGCTGACCCTATTCTCCTTAATAATAGCACAACTGGTGGGGCGCGGTGGCTTACGCCTGTAATCCCAGCACATTGGGAAGCTGAGGCGGGCAGATCATGAGGTCAGGAGTTTGAGACCAGCCTGGCCACCGTGGTGAAACCCCATCTCTAATAAAAATACAAAAAAATTAGCTGGGCACAGTGGCAGGCACCTGTAACCCCAGCTACTCAAGAGGCTGAGACAGGAGAATTGCTTGAACCCAGGAGGCAGAGATTGCAGTAAGCGGACATCGGACCACTGCACTCCAGCCTGGGCAACAAGAGCAAAACTCTGTCTCAAAAATAATAATAAAATAAAATAACAGGGAGAGTTATTTTGGTGCAGAGTCAGAAAAGCACCATCAATCTTAACGCCGCTGATTGAGTCGGAGCAGTGGGTTGCTCAGATTTCGGCGCTGAGAATCAGTAAGTCAGACGTCCACTCAGAAAACCAATTACAAAGACGGTAAATACAAAGACCACAGATGGATAAATTTATAACGAAGGGAAGAAAACAGCCAAAAAAGGCTGAGAATACCCAAGATCAGAACGCCTCTCCCTCAGCAGGGGATCACAGTTCCTCATCAGCAACAGAACAAGGCTTGATGGAGAACGAGTGTGTTCCAATTACAGAAGCAGGCTTCAAAATGTGGATAATGAGAAACTTCTGTGAATTAAAAGAACTTGTTTTAACCCAATCCAAAGAAACTAAGAACTTTGAAAAAAGATTTGACGAAATGTTAACAAGAATACACAATTTAGAGAGGAATATAAGTGAATTGATGGAGCTGAAAAACACAATACGAGAACTTCGTGAAGTATGCACGAGTTTTAACAGCCGAATTGATCAAGCAGAAGAAAGGATATCAGAGGTCGAAGACCAACTCAATGAAATAAAACAAGAAGACAAGATTAGAGAAATAAGGATAAAAAGGAACGAGCAAAGTCTCCAAGAAATATGGGACTATGTGAAAAGACCTAATCTACGCTTGATAGGTGTACCTGAATGTGACGAAGAGAATGAATCCAAGCTGGAAAATACGCTTCAGGACATTATTCAGGAAAATTTTCCCAACCTAGTAGGGCAGGATAATATACAACTCCAGGTAATACAGAGAACACCACAGAGATATTCCTCAAGAAGAGCAACTCCAAGGCACATAATCGTCAGATTCACCAGGGTTGAAATGAAGGAGAAAATACTAAGGGCAGCCAGAGAGAAAGGTCAGGTTACCCAAAAAGGGAAGCCTATCAGACTTACAGATCTCTCAGCAGAAACCCTACAAGCCAGAAGAGAGTGGGGACCAATATTCAATATCCTTAAAGAACTTTCAACCCAGAATTTCACATCTAGCCAAACTAAGCTTCACAAGTGAAGGAAAAATAAAGTTTTTTGTGAATAAGCAAGCACTCAGAGATTTCATCACCACCAAGCCTGCTTTACAAGAGCTTCTGAAAGAACCACTACACATAGAAAGGAACAAACAGTATCAGCCTTTCTAAAAAAAATACCAAAAAGAGCATCAATATAATGAATTTATATCAACTAATGGGCAAAATAGCCAGCTAATATTAAGTGGCAGTATTAAACTCACATATATTATTATTAATTCTAGATTTAAATTGACTAAATCCCCCAATCCAAAGACAGACAGGCAATTTGAATAAAAAACTAAAACCCATCAGTATGCTGCATCCAGACCCATCTCACATTCAAGGATACACAAAGACTCAAAACAAGGGATGGAGAAGGATTTACCAACCAACCAGAGCTAAAATAAATAAAAAGCAGAAGTTACAATTAAGCAACAAAGATCAAAAGAAGCAAAGGAGGACATTATATAATGATAAAAGGATCAATGCAACAACAAGCAGAACTAAAGGTTCTCAATATATACGAACCCAATACAGGAATATGTAGATCAGTACCACATCCTATCAACTTAGAAGTTTAAACGAAATGTTGGTTGGCTCCTTGTTTGTTATTCTCTTCCCTCATTTTCTTTTATATCTCCATTATTAAGGACAATTACAGGCATACCCATATTTAGATGGCATTTTACCCCGGGCAATAAAGCAATACCCCCATCCTCTCTCCCTCTTCCTCTTTCTTCCTCCTCTTTATTCTTTTTCTTAAAAATAAAATAAAAATAAAATAAAACAACAGCACACTGCAACGGCACAGGTCTCCTCCGTTTGCTCACTGTCTGCCCGCAAGAAGGGCAGAGCCCCAGGCTGACTTGCTGAAGGCTATCTTCAGCACCTGGATCTGTGCCTGGCACGTGGCACGTGCTCAGTAAGTATTCGTGGAATTCGTGAATAAGCAGGGCTCAAGTTCTTCATTGCTAAAATGGCGCCTTGATCCCTCCCCTGAGGGTCACTATGAGCATTGGGGTACCGCAGGTAAAGCATTTGGCATGTCAGGAAGAAAGATTCCAGATTCCCTACCCTAGCATCCTAAAGGTCACCTGTGCATTCAGTAAACACTTATTGAGCACCTAATGTGTGCCAGCAGTCATAGTTGCTGGGTCCACACACTGCAGAGCAGAAGGGCTAAAGCTGGCCCTTTAGGAAGCCAGACTGCATCTGAGGCTGACTTCCCAGGCAGGGTCTGCACCTGATCCCTGCTCTGGCACCTGGGACTCATTCCCTCCCATCTAGCCCCAGGCACTGGACACTCACAGGCTTCATGATCCAGGTGATTCCTGGGTTTTTTCGAAACTCCTCCACAAACAGGTGGTACTCGGACGGCAACTCAAAGGTTTTGGGGAAGAAGTCGCACTTGGCTGCCTCCAGCTTTCCCGCCTCACGCTCTAGCTGCTTCCGGAACCGCTTCAGGTTCTTCACCATGTAGTTCTTTCGGGTCAGCTGGGCGGCAGGAAGGGCAGGCGGCCATTAGCTCCTGCTCACCACCCGGCTCCCCTCCCAGCCCCACACATCCACCAGCCACCCTGCAGCTGGTGGCCCACAAATAGCAACAGTAAGAGTAACTTTAACCCAGAAAGAGCCTGCTAGTCTAGAATTATCCCCACTTCACAGATAAGGAAACTGGGACTTAGAAAGGTTAAGTCAATTGCCCAGAGCAAGGAAGGAGCTGCACTGCCAGGATTTGCCCAGGGCCTGTCTTGACTCCAAAATTCATGCTTTTTCACCACTAAGCTACACTAATCTTTAAAAATCTCCCGCCACTGCCTCCTCCAGTCCCGTTTCTCCTAGATCTGCTTCCCATCTTTAGACCCCAAACTTCTCAACTTGCCTCCACCCTGAAATCACCATAATTGTTCATGCATCCTCTCCCTTCAGACCCTGCTCCCCCAAACCAGCTTGATTCTCAAATCTTGGTACTGAAACTCCAACCCGCCTATGACCGCCAACCCTCTGGCCTTAGAGCCCTAAACCCCCAAACCATTTGGCTCTCCACAGGTCCCGCCCGCATGCTCCCCACCCGGCGTTGCATCCCACATTCCAGTACACTTTTCCATTCTGGTCCTTGTACCCCGAAAACCAGCTCCCGCTCGTGGCCACACCCAGTGACACGAGTTGGTTGGCTCAGTCCTCACCTGCCTGCCCAGCTCACCTCGTAGTGGTTCCGGAAGTGACTGATCCTGACGTGTTCCTCCATATAGGTGTGGTCAAAGTTCTCCCGGAGCCAGCTGACGTCACACCAGTAGAAATCCCACTCCCCTTCACTGGGGGTGGGGGTGGGGATAAAGGTCGTTACCTGAGGTCCTTGGCACTGCAAGGCCCAGGGAAGTGCTGCTGGGGGGTGGGGGGCTTGAGAAAGGTTACGCAGCAGTGCGTCCCTCTGGAATCTCTTCGAGGTAGCCATGGGTGCTACCAGCCTAAATGTGCTTTGTTAGACCAGAGCAAAAACCATGGAAATGTTTCCACAAAAATCCAGGTGGCTGGCTTCCCTTGAGCTGTCACTGAGCCCAGACTGCCTCCTGGCACCTACTGGCTGGGCTGAGGAGCTGATACCCCTTTAGATAGGGCACGTCCTCCCCAGACCACAGTCCTAGCTACTCTCTCTGGTGCGATAGCCCCTCGGCCTCACTTGTTCTTATTCAGTTGCCACACCTGCAGCCCTTAGTGGAATGAGCTAACGTTTGCAGGCCCCTCCCACTTAAAGCTCTCCACTCATGAAATCCTCAGAGCAGCCCCCAGAGGTGACTTGGATCATCCCCAGAGCTCTAAGGTGGGATGGCCTTGCTCACTGAGGACATGGCAGCAGCGGGACCCACACCCAGCTCTGCCGGCTCCAAATTCCGATTCCGTTCTCCACCACCATGCCAGGGAGAGGGAGGGGAAACCGGGCCAATCTACCAAATCTGGGTGTCAGAGCCTGGATGTGGGGAGGAGGTGCTTGAAAAAGATGCCACAGGAAATAAACACCATCATGATTGTTCACAATTTTTTTAAGTAAAAAAGTACAGTCTGGGCACAGTGGCTCACACCTGTAATCCCAGCAGTTTGGGAGGCTGAGGTGGACTGATCACACAGTCAGGAGATTGAGACCATCCTGGCCAACATGATGAAACCATGTCTCTACTAAAAATACAAAATGAGCTTGGTGTGATGGCACACACAGCTACTTGGGAAGCTAAGGCAGGAGAATCACTTGAACTCAGGAAGCAGAGGTTGCAGTGAGCTGAGATCACGCCACTGCACTCAAGCCTGGGTGACAGACAGAGATTCTGTCTCAAAAAGAAAAAGAAAGTACAATATAACTGAAGCCCCCTATCTATCCCTGGTAATTCTATCTCCTTCTCTCCTGCCATAAAGGAAACCACTAGCCTGAGTTTGGTGTGCTATCATTTCTATGTAGTGGCCTTATAGTGCCATCACGTGTATATATATATATATATATATATATATATATATATATATGTGTGTGTATGTGTGTGTGTGTGTGTGTGTATTCATGCATCATGACACATGGCATTCTTTGTCATGATTTTAAACTGAATGCCAATACTTACTGCTTACCACGTACCAGGCACTGCTCTAAGTACTTCACAAATATTCACTCATGGATCTTCAATGCAACCCGAAGTGTTAGGTTCTGTTATTATGCCCATTTTACAGATGAGAAAATGGAGGCAGACACACAGAGCAACTCACCTAGTTCACACATCTAGTAAGTGGTGGAGCAGGATTTGAACCCAGGCCCTCCAGCTCCAGAGTCCAAGCTCTGAGTTTAGAAACACTCCTGTCTGTTTCTTTTCACAACATACTTTTTTCCAGCAAACTTTTGTTTTGGAGATCAATTCTTTTGATACATAGGAGTCTAATTCAGTCATTCTAACTGCCATTTCCCATTCCATTGGGTGAACATATCCATTTTCCTATTAAAAGGTGTTTGGGGCTGGGTGTGGTGACTAACACCTGTAATCCACAAGGCAGAAGAATCACGTTAGGGCAGGAGTTTGAAACCAGCCTGGCTAACATGGTGAAACCCTGTCTCTACTAAACATACAAAAAATAGCTGGGTGTGGTGGCGAGCACCTGTAATCCCACCTACTCAGGAGGCTGAGGCAGGAGAATCACTTGAACCCAGGAGGTGGAGGTGCAGTGAGTCGAGATCACACCATTGTACTCCAGCCCAGGTGACAGAGTGAGATTTCATCTCAGAAATTAATTAATTAATTAATTAAAAATAAAAGGTGTTTGGGGCTGGGCATGGCAGCTCATGCCTGTAATTCCAGCACTTTGGGAGGCCAAAGCGGACAGACTGCTTGAGCTCAGGAGTTTGAGACCAGCCCGGCCTACGTGACGAAACCCCTTTTCTACCAAAAATACAAAAAATTAGCCAGGAGTGGTGGTGTGCACCTGTAGTCCCAGCTACTCAGGAGGCTACGTGGGAGAATCACTTGAGCAGAGCAGTGGAGGTTGTGGTGAGCCAAGATTGCACCACTGTACTCCAGCCTGGGTGACAGAGTTGAGAGCCCATCTCAAAAAAAAAAAAGGTGTTTCGTTTGTCTCCCTCCCTGTTTGTCACCCTTACTCCCCACCCCTTTTATCTATTACAGACAAATAGGCTGAGTTTTAAAAGATATCTTGAGGTTTGAGGCAGAAATAGAGAATAATGAAGAGACATTACCATCACCTTGGGGTGAGGAATGAATAGGCCCTGAACAGGACCAGCCAGGAGGATGCTGGGGCAGACTTTATTTCCAAAAGATGCCTATACTGTATCCCTCACCCAGAGGCTGCGTGTCTGAATGTCTCCTTGTGAGGCCACAAGAAAAACTCATGAGAACCTTCTTTGGGTGTCTGCCCTAGTGAGATCCCTGCAGACAGCTAGCACCAACTGCCACACCTGTGAGTCAGATGCCCTCAGACAACTCCTGCCATCAAGTGACCTCCGGATCTGGGCTCTTCCCAGCTGATGCTCCCAATGTTATAGAGACAGGCCAGTCCCACTGTGTCCTGCAAGAGTCCCTGACTCACAAGAGCCCTGTGCCCAATGCAATGCTGTCTTAAGCAGCTAAGTTTTGGGATTTGTTACACAGCCATAGCAACGGGAACAATGGCCAAGCAGTTGGGCCTTGTGTTGTAAATGGGGCTTCCTTTAAAAATTTTTTTTTTGGAGAAGGAGTTTCCCTCTTGTTGCCGAGGCTGGAGTGCAATGGCGCAATCTTGGCTCACCACAACCTCTGCCTCCCAGGTTTAACCAATTCTCCTGCCTCAGCCTCCCGAGCAGCTGGGATTACAGGCATGTGCTACCATGCCCAGCTAATTTTGTAATTTTTTTAGTAGAGATGGGGTATCTCCATATTGGCCAGGCTGGTCTTGAACTTCTGACCTCAGGTGATCCACCCGCCTCAGCATCCCAAAGTGCTGGGATTACAGGCATGAGCCACTGCACCCAGATCCCTTGGGAATTTTCAAAGAACTAAAGATACAAATTGCTTCTCCTTGGGGCTGCCGAGTTGGGTGTTTCTCCTGAATGTCACAGCACGTGCAGAGAGGCTTTAAGGCAGGCAGGCCCAGCCTTTCACTGAGCTCAGAGATGTCCGGAGATGTTCATCTGTGCACACACCATGAACAGATGTGGTGACGTGAAGCATCGTAACAGAATGACACTGGAACCAGAAATCTATGGTTTCCAAATTTTCTCCTAGTTACTCATGAAAATCTGGGGCCCGGTCCTTTCCAAACCTCCCTTGTGGCTGCTGCCCCAGGCACAGCGGTTCTGAAGAACGGTTTCAAGAACTGATGGAAACCCACTGGAGAAATGGCCATGTGTTGGCCGGGTGTGGTGGCTCATGGCTGTAATCCCAGCACTTTGGGAGGCCCAGGCAGGTGGATCACCTGAGGTCAGGAGTTCGAGATCATCCTGGCCAACATGGTGAAACCCTGTCTCTACTAAAAAACACAAAAATTAGCTGGGCATGGTAGCATATTCCTGTAATCCTAGCTACTTGGATTACTAAACGCAGGAAGCGAAAGTTGCAGTGAGCCTAAATTGCACCATTGCACTCCAGCCTGGGCGACAGTGTGAGACACCATCTTGGGAAAAAAAAAAAAAAAGAAAGAAAGAAATGGCTGTGTGCTCTATAAACCCTCAGACACCATAGAGCCACAGATTCCTGGCTGGCTGGCTGGGGCCTCATCTAGATGCCCAGTCCTGCCTTTTCTCCACCCTGATGTTTGTACCAGGCCATGTCATGCAGCACAAGGAGCAGTAGACCAGGAGTCAAGAGCCCTGATTCTGGGCTTGTCACAGTCACTGGCACTTATATGACCTTGCCTTCTTCTCTGGGCCTCAGTTTCTTATTGGGAAAATCTAGGAGTGGTAACCTCTAGGCAAGATAATAGACTGCAATGAGCCAAACTGATACTAAATAATTAAACAAGGGGCAGGAAGAGAAAACCTTTCTCTACAGAAGAATGCCACTTAATACATGTAGAAGGAATGAGAGAGAGAGTAACCATTTTGCAATTATTATAAACTTAACAGATTTAGGCAAGAAGCCTCAGAAAAGGCCAGGCACGGTGGCTTCCGCCAGTAATCCCAGCATGTTGCGGGGCCAAAGCAGGAGGATCACTTAAGCCCAGGAGTTTGAGACTAGCCTGTCAACATGGGTAAATCTCATCTCTACAAAAAATATAAAAATTAGCTAGGCATGTTGGCACAAGCCTGTAGTCCCAACTACTCAGGGGGCTGAAGTGGGAGGATCACTTGAGCCCAGAGGGTCAAGGCTGAAGTGAGACATGAATGCCACTGTACTCCAGCCTAGGCAACAGAGTGAGACCCTGTCTCAAAAAAAAAAAAAAGAAAAAAAAAAAATTACCGAAAAATGCTAAAACCATTGTGTGAAAGTTTGTTGGGAACAAGGTATTTGCATAGTCTCAGAGTATCTGCCCACAAGATACTTATTAATTATTTTTCAAAGTTAGTTTACATCAGAGAAACCTGGCAGACACCACCTTAATCTAATGGTCAATCAAGGTATTGTCACCAGTGATAAGACAAAGGCATCACAAAACCCCTGATGAGTTCCACTGGGAAGCATCAAGAATACCACAGCATCATTTCTGTGGTATTCTTGCCAAAATGCATAACCTCATGATGAGAAAACATCAGACAAATCCAATTCAAGGACATTCTACAAAACGTACTCTTCAAAAGTGTGAAGGGCATGAAAGACAAAGACCAAGGAACTGAAATATATTTGAGGTGAAA